ATTGAAAAAGCATTTAACAAACATCTAAATTTATTCCATAACAAAATAATAAAATTACTAAGGAAACTATAGACTATTTCTTAAAAATATTACCATTGAGATGCTCTTTTAATCTGTAAGTTTTTGCTTAGTCCCAGTTCAGTGGGATCAGAATATGAAAAGCCTTAGGTTCTTTTCCAATTACTGGTTTCCACTAGATTGTGTCATGTCACCTTTTACTATCTTCAGACAAACATCTAGAAAAGTTTCTATCACCTTCTGACAACTTAGATTATTGAAACTCAGTCCAGTTCTTCTTAAACCTCTAAAATAATATTCAATTCAAAGCCTTCTCCTCTGTTAGGCTTGTGCTAGGGACTTAAAACCAAAATTAGGAGACTCCTAAATGAAAGCTGGCACGAACAGTATCAGTTTAGTCTTGTTCTAGGCCATCCGGGCTACGTGGGAAGGCTGGTCACCCCGGATAGATAAAGGCCTGGAAATGGGGCAGGAGGCCTCTTCCTCCGCCTTCCGCCCTTGGGTTTGTACGTGGTCCCTCTACTGTTGGGAAGCAGGAAAGAGGGACACAGAAGACACAATCCATCTTGTGCATCTAGCAGTACGCCTGTGGGGCAGCTACACCCGCGGTCTGCTGGCTCCGCACAGAGGCCTCTGCTGGGCAGTCAGCTGGGTACGTCTTCCCTTCATAAATGAGAAAACAGGCCCATGAAGACGATTTTGTGTGCAGCACATTTGGTGAGGGTTAGAGAGTGGACCTGTGTGTGTCCTCCAACACCTGGCCATCATCTCTTCTGTTCTTTCTAATCCACGGACACATCACAGCCAGGCCTGGAAAGGCACTTGCCTCAGGTGTAACATTTGTAAGTGTGCTACCAACCCCAGTAATCAGATAAATAATATCAGAGTGCAACATTTTGAAAATGAAAAGCAAAGCAAAATAATCTTCAGCAAAAAGTCTCAATTCTAAATGAAGATAGCATTGATATTATTGATTTTTCCTTTTGCTCTACCCTCAGGCATCACAGGGCACATAATTTAGATGTCTAATGTTCACCCAGATTGAATATTCATTCAACTCTCTGTCTCCACACTCCACTTACTCTGTTCCCAGTCCTTCCCATCTTAATAAATAGCCTGGTTTGTGAGACTCAAAATCAGAGTCATTCTTGATGCCTCCTTTTTCCTCACACTCTATATGCAGCCCAGTAACAAGGTACACAAGATCTCTGCTCCCAATCTCCAGTAATCTTTGTGTCCAAGCTACCGCTCTACCTATTACAAATGTCACCTTGCCAAAGTCAGAAAATAGCTTCCTAACATCTTGGTTCAGTTACCCTCCTATAACTACATCTCTTCCCTGCAAAAATCCTTTAGCAGCCTAGTGAACTGAATAGTGTCCCAAAAATATTATGTCTGAGTCTTGACACCTTAGTTACCTGTGATATTTGGAACCAGGGTCTTTCAGATATGAGATCATCCCAGGTTTAGGACGAGTCTTAAATCCAATGACTGGTCCTTAGAAGAGAGGGATTGGACGCAGAGAGAAGGTTTTAGAAAGATGGGAACAGAAACTGAAGTGATGAATTTACCTAGCAAGAAATGCTGAGGACAAGACACCCTGGGACAATATGTGAATACACAGTATCTGATGATTTTATCCATTTCATGGGAGTACAGAATTATAGCTGATGGCATGAGAAATTCTCATTGTTCAGAATTCCACCTTGCTTTTGTAACAGGCTGCTAGCCTGCCGTGCTACAGGAAACTAGAGTGCTCTCCTAGACCAATGAAACACGAGCAAACACAAAAGAGTTTTACATACTTCTTTTATTTGGAGACAGCATCTCACTATGTAGTCTAGGCAGGCCTCAAACTCTCTATGTAGCTCAGCTTGGCCTTGAGCTCCCTGCAATCCTATTGCATCAGCTTCCTGGGTGCCGGGGTCACAAGTGCGTCTCATGCTTGGCTCTCCTTGGTTTTTATTCTTTACTCTCAGGTTGAAGAAACTTGAGATTTTTTATTTATATCCAAAATTCCGCAAAGAAAAGTGTCTATGGAGACTTGGTCATACTCGGGACAATGTTCCTTTATCGTTTTGTTTGTAAACATACACGTGTGTATGGTGAATTAAGCTGTAAACTTCCTTCTTGGAACAGGACGACACTGCCATGCGGCAAAAGGCCAGCAGGTGGCCGAGCACAGCCCCACACAGAGTCCCTGCGGTGCGAGCCTTCAGGACACAGCGCTAAGAGAGCTACAAAAATTAGTAAGAACGGCTACAGACACAGATGCTAAAAACATAGTGTGCAATGACCTTAGGCATGTTTCTAAAGGTAAATTGGAATAAATATTTAATTCAATTGTTTTCACGCTTAAAAGCTTATTATTCATGGAAGTATGTATCTGTGTACAACCTTTCCAGAGAGCAGGTTTATACTAAAGTATTTAGAATAATCTGACTCTTTGATTTAGTCGCCAAGGATAAATACAGGAATTGTTCATGTGTACGTATTGAAGAGGAGAGGTGGTGACTTTCCCACGTGAAGCAGACGACCATAGGGATCTCTGGATGCATGCTTGAATGTCAAGCCTGGATGGGAAGGAAGGGTTACTACTGGCATTGACTGGGAGAGCCAGTATCCTGTAAAACACAGGTCAACTGGGCATGGTGGCGCACAGTTATAACCCCAGCACTTGGGAAACTGAGGCAGGAGGATTCTGGTGAGTTCAAGGTCAGCCTGAGCTTCATAGTGAGACCCCGTCTGAAAAAACAAATAAAAGCTCTTCACAAGGCCGCCCCACCCTCCAACAAAGAATTATCCAGCTCCAAAATGTCAGAAATGCCTGAAAAACCCTGATCTACAAGTATTTTACCTAGTGACATTGTTTCTAAGAGTAAAAGATGCTACAAGAAACCTAAATATCTAAAAACTAGAGGACCAGCGGGGCGTGGTAATGCATGCCTGTAATTGCAGCACTCAGGAGGCTGAGGCAGTAGGATCACTGTGAGTTTGAGGTCGGCTGGGGCTACATCGTGAACTCAAGTCCAGCCTGAACTACACAGTAAGACCCAGTCTCAGAAATGAAGGCTGGTGTGCACTTTCCCCTGATGTTTCTGATTTATTTCACTTATGATTATGGTTACACAGTCCATCTATTTAGTTATAAATATCTCAATTTTATCTTTTTATGGTTAAATAGTATTCCATTATACTTTTTTAAAATCACATTTTTTATCCATTTATTGGTTGATGGGCATGTGGGTTGCTCCCAAGATTTAGCTTTTACAAACTGTGCTGCTATACACATGAGTACACATATATCACTGTGGTGTGATGCTTTTAATTACTTCTGGAAGATACTAAGAAGGGGAAGAGCTGGATCAAATAGGACCTCAACCCCAAGCACACAGGAATTATCACAAAGAATTAACACTGGAAACTCATCTTATTTATTTATTTTTTGTAGCAGGGATTGAACTCACAATCTTGAGCTTGCCAGGCAGACGCTTATGCCACCAAGCTAAATCCCTGTCCCCAGGAACACATCTTATTAAAAAGCTTTTGCACAGCAAAACAAAACATCAACAAAGAGAAAAGACGACCAACACAGTCAGGGAAATATTTTTGCCAGCTGTTCCTCAGACAAAAGGCCAATATCTAGAAAATATAAAGAAATGAAAAAATCAGACCCACCCCTAATTCAAAGACCCAATGCAAAAATGGGATCTGAGATGAATACACACTTCTCAGATGAAGAAGTACAAACGCTAAATACATATATGAAAAATGTTCAACATTTGTTTAATGCAAATTAAAACAACATTGCGATTCTCTCTCACCTCACAAAGAAAGGCTGTCATCAAGAAATCAGCCAGTGACAGGGGATGTGGGGAGAAGGAACCCTTCTGCACTGTTGGTGGCAGTGCAGACTGGCGCAACCCCTGTGGAAATCAGCGAAGAGATGGTTGGAGTTTTTTATCCCAAGACTCAGGCTCATTAAACTCAGAATAGTTGCTGACTTGTTCAGACAAAAGCGATTTGATCTGATCTATATGGTTGGTTCTTTTCTTCTTCAGTACCAGGGATCGAACTCACAACCTCATGCTTGCCACAGAGGCGCTTGTGTCACTGAGCTATAACCCCAGCCAATTTGGCTTATATAGAAAACAAAACTGAAACTATGGAAATTAAAACGCTAGTCTGTACTTTACCAGTGGACAAGTGCAGTGCAGCAGACGCAGTTCTGGTTTTAGCCATCGGCCAGGAGGCTGGGGAAGCCCATCCCGAGGGGATGTGATTCCGCCAAGACCGCAGGGGGCGCTGTGAGTCACATCGTTCCCGCCAACTCCGCGGGAGCCCCCGCCCAGCCTCACGCAGCCGCTTCCTCTGCGCGGGGCCGTTCCTTTTCCGGGGCGTGAGGGACCCGGATGCCAGCGTGCTATATAAGCGCCTGTCAGGCCTGCCCACTTTCTTTCCGGGCAAGAGGTGGTAGTGGGTGCGGAGCGGCTAGTTAGCGTCCGCCCCTGCTCCTGACTCACCGCTGTTCGCTCTTTCCGAGGAACAAGTCGGTCAGGAAGCCCCGCCACGCCATGGTGAGAACGGGGTTTGGCGCCGCGCGGCTCGGGCTCGCGCGCCGCCGAGGGTAACGTGGGTCCCGGCGGCGTCGGCCGCGCGCGTGCTCAGCTTTGCGATGGTGGAGCGGCCGGGGTGGCCACGCGCGGGTTGTCACGATCTTTTGTGCTTCTTTCATCCGGTCCTATAACAGGCGTTTAAGGATACTGGAAAAACACCTGTGGAGCCGGAGGTGGCGATTCACCGAATTAGGATTACCCTCACCAGCCGCAACGTGAAATCGCTGGAGAAGGGTGAGTGGAGGTGAAAAGGATGTGTCTGACTTGGTGACGCACGGAATTGGGTGGAAGTGGCGGGTTGCCTAGGTCGCACAGGTGGGGAAGGCCTGGGATTTTCAGTGCGTTTTTTGCATGGTATCAAACGTTTGGCGATGAGGAGACTCCTATTGTGTTGAATTACAATGATAGGTTTATACGCTATTCTGAGCCAGCAGCTGAGGTTTCTTAAACTAGCTTCAGTTGTTTGGAAGGAACTGAGTTGTTTTTTTTTTTTTTCCCCTTAATTTCCTTGTAGTGTGTGCTGACTTGATCAGAGGTGCAAAGGAAAAGAATCTCAAAGTGAAAGGACCCGTTCGCATGCCTACTAAGGTAAGATACAGCTTGGGAATAAGAAGTAGTGTCCACTTTTTCCTGCCCTGGAAGCAGCCTGGCTGCCAAAAGAATTCTCTGGTAATAACAATACATACCCAAAATCTGCTAGAATTTGGTTTGTATTGGGTACCTAATGTTTAGAAGTGACTGTTTAAAGTCCTGAGTTTTGAGTGTACTGTACTGGCAGAATGGGAGAGGATTGGTGGCCTCACATAAAAAGCACAGTAACAGTTTTGCACAAGTCTTGTGGATAAGCTTTAAACACTTGCTTTCCTTTACCTTGTTTGCAGACCTTGAGAATCACTACAAGGAAAACGCCCTGTGGTGAAGGTTCTAAGACATGGGATCGCTTCCAGATGAGAATCCACAAGCGACTCATTGATTTGCACAGTCCCTCTGAGATTGTGAAGCAGATTACTTCCATCAGCATCGAGCCGGGAGTAGAGGTGGAAGTCACCATCGCAGATGCCTAAGGCAACTGTTTTAATAAATTGATCTTCAATTGTTCCAGTGTGCTGAGTTTCATTTGGTATGTCTGAGGAAAAGTAACCCTGTGAGATTCACTTCAGTTTCAGTAAAAAACTAGACTGATGTATCACTGCGCCAATTTATTTTGTAGGCTATCTGAATGGTTTGAAACAATTCGTAAATAGTGCGTGGAGCCACGATGATGGAAGTGCCATTTTATAGTGCAGTGTGACCGTTTGTAACCTTAGGCCCATGTTGGGACACTTCTGGAGAGCAGTGTTGTATCGGGTACCTCCTGTTAATATCAGTAGGCTGTATCCAGGTGGACATGATGTAAACTACTTGATGCTTTTTACAAAGCAAGTCTTTATATGTGCACATGGTGTGGGTGCTGTTCTGTAGGTAACGCTGGCTTAAAGTTGGCTGTTCTAGCCGTTCAGTGGCCCTGCGGTTCAAACAGTTTCATCAAAAAATTAAGTAGTGACTCACTTTTTCTATTAAAGTGTCTTACACCATTTCAATTTTCTCTGAGGGGAAATCTACAGAAATGTATCCAGAAAAGTATTTTTTGTAAAAATCCCCTGGAAAAAGTTGTCCCTTTGCTGCTTTATAGGATTGTGGTCCAGGAGTAGGTCATGCCTTTCCTTTGGTTTTGGGCTTCTGGACTGTCCAGTGCACTCCCATTGCTTTGATGACCACAGCTCTGGAGACTGGATGTGTACCACTCAACTAGAGGAAGCCTTGCTCTGAGCCCATAGTCCACTGTATACATAGATAAAGGCCTCAAACTGGGATCTTGGGTCCCTTCCTGTTGCCCTTACCTAGCATAACCTTTATGAGCTTTAGCTTTATATTTTTTTTTGGTCTTTGAGACAGGGTCTCACCATGCAGTTCAAACTGGCCTTGAGCTCAGTGTATCCCAGGCTGGTCTCAAGAGTTGCAGTGACCCTTCTGCCTCCTGTGTGCTGGGGTTACAGGCGAGGGCTACCACGCCATTTTCAAGTGTAAATTAGCAGTACAGTTGTTTTGAGGCCAGCCATTTGTCATCAAAATGACATTCAATCTAGCATGAAAAGCACTTAACGGGTTTGCAAATTAATGTGTTTAAAGAACGGTTAGACGATACGGGGTAAGTGACACTGCTAATGATGACACATTCCTGTCCTAGGGGAGTTTTAAGTGAAGTTACAACAAGCAAGAGCTGGAGGTACAGCCTTGATATCCTGTGGCTCTATTTGGGGCATTGTGCACGCAAGGTGGTGCTAGAGAGCTACTAATGGTCATTTTAAATTTGAGTACCTACCTGAATGTGTGACTTACAGAAGTACAGAGAATCTTAGCTTTAATTATGTGTTGGGAGGCCTTTGGAATATGCAGTATCCTGAGAGAACTAAATAGGAAAGAGATCTAAATTTTACGAAACGTTAGAAGTCAGTTGAATAATGCTCAGTAAGTCCCAAGATAAAAACTTTCATGTAATTGTGAACTTGAGTAATTTATTTTCTTTAACCAGCAGATGGAGTTGAGTTATGGTGGAAGTAATGCTTCAGAAGCCTCTCATTCCTGAAATACAGTCCTTTAAATACAGGGAAGGGCAGTATCCTCAGTTTCTTACCTATTTGGAAATAAAACTCCGGCCTGACCTTGGGATGTAAAGAGGGAAGGACGTGTTTGCTGGTAGTGATGCCAATGGTTTTATGAGTGATGCTGCCACCTTTTATGGGTGGAGAGTTACAGGTTTACAGTGGTGGCCTCTCCAGGTGTCTTGGATTCACAGAGTACTGTTGTCTCTGTTTTAGAAATGTGACCTAGCATTTACCAAGGGAATTGAGACCGAGTGACTTCACTGCCAGATCAGTTTCTGCACGTAACTTCCCTCAGGGCTTGTGTGTATGTTTCGTGGGTGTAAAATGAACAAGAGGAAGTGTGAGAGCCCTGGACATGCCGGCTTGATGGAGTTACGTCATTAGGCTGGGGAGGACAGTGTGGTGACTCTCAGATGTGTATGTGGGTGCTGTGTTGTCTCACAACAGGTTTTCAATTAAACTGAGTAGTTTGTAGTCTCACACGTGGACCTTGATTCCCAGAAGATGTGCAAAAAGTATACTGAATCCCCAGATGGCCTTCCCTTTTTTTTTTTTTTTAAACCCTGTGAGGTGATCGAACCCAGGACCTTTGCACCGAGTTACACCCTCAGCCCTTTGTTTTTTATTCTGAGCCAGTTTCACTTAAGTTGCCCTAACTGGAGTGGAGCTTGCCATCTTCCTGTCTCAGTGCCCCAGACGCTGGCTTTATGGGTGTGCGCCACCACAACCGGCTGGAGCATTTCTAGCTGCATCTTCCATAAACAAGGGTACTGAGAAACTTAGCAAAGGCGATTTTCTGTTTTGAAAGTAAGAGCAGCTAAATTCTTTCTGTATCATACTAATAGCATATTTTAGTTTGATAACAAACTCAGAACCAGCATACTAAATCCTGGTTTGATTTTGCTTGATGTAGTCATGTTGCTTCATTAATTTAAAAACCACCCACCCTAAAAATATTAAATACTACATTTTTCAGAACTTGTAATACACATTTAGAATATATATAATCTAGCTACATGAAATCTTGAGCACTTTGATACACATGGGACAATGCTAAATTACTATAATTTGTTCAGTCTTAAATTAACATTTAGTGACTGTTCTGCTCTGTGTTTTTGTGAGACCAACCTTTTTTCTTTCAGATGTGGTTTGCCTGTGTTCCCCAGGCTGTCTTGAACTGGCCTCAAACAGTTCTGTCTCAGCCTCCTGGGCCACAAGCTGTCATGCCCTGGTTGAAAACAAACTTTTTAAAGTCCTATATGTAAAAAGGGAACAGTATCTTTGTGTGCCTGGCTTACTTAACAGTTTCCTGCAGTTCTCCATGTTACTGCACATGGGAAGAATGTTCCATTGTGTATACTGTCAGTTATTTTTGTCATTAATTATCTTAGATATTTCTAAATCCACACACGGAGATGTACCTCATTCTTTCAGTGACTATTAACGTATGAATGTTTTTGTTTAACTGGATTCCTAATGGACTTTTAGATACTTAGATATTGTTAAAAAAATCACTTTTCAGGGCTGGGGATTTAGCTCAGTGGCATAAGGGCCTGCCTTGCAAGCGCTTGGTTGTGAGTTCGAGCCCCAGTACCGATTTAAAAAAAAAAAAATCGCTTTAATCCATATGCTTTCCCTGCCTCCTTTTTGATTTTTTGAGGACAAGGTCTTGCTGTGTAGTCCAAGCTGGCCTTGAACTCACTGTGTAGCCCAGGCTAGCCTTGAACTTGTAGAGTTCTCTTGTCTCAGCCTCCTGAGTGCTGAGATTATAGGCATGCACCAGCACAACAGCCTTTTCCATATACTTTTAGTATTCTCTTTTCTCACTTATACAGCCATATAAGATATACTTGTGGAACTTAAATTTCTGAATTTTGATTGTATGAATTTTTGGTATGTAGGGGCTCATATAAAATCATTTAAGAACATATTAAGCTTCTAAGTATGCATCTGTAAATTTTTTCTAGGATGGTTTAGTTAAAAATACGGAAAATTTAATTTACAGTGACATTGCTAAACTGCTGCCCAGTGACTTACTTACATTCCTACCAGTAGTAGGAGCGCAGTAACGTCCCTCTGAGGTGTGATACCATGTTATTTTACCATGTGTTGTGGTTTATGTCTAGATGTTCCCTCAAAGCTTCATGCAGGCGTTTTGGAGTCTATGATCGACGCCTGGTCCAATGCTGCTGTTGGGGGTGTGAGTGCCACACCCACCCTAGGGAGGGAAGCCTGCATGCAGTGTAAGGGACAAGAAGAGTTTTTGGGGCTACTCCTCTTTTTTCCTCTTAGTGCTTTTGCCGTCTTCTGCTGTCTGGAACTGGTGCACCCTGCCTGGAAGCAAGCTGAGGATGGACTGAAACCTCCACAGACTGAGCTAAATAAACCTTTCTTCCCTTAATTTTAGGTACTGGGTATTTTGACTCAGCAACAAGAAAAACAAGACATCATAATTTCTGGTATAAAAATCTAAAAGATGAATCAAAAATCAGTTTAGCAGTGGTAAGCATCTTAGTACTACTATTCACAGATCTCTAGAACTTTTTCATCATGCAGAACGGAAATTGCTTGTTCAATACAATCTCCCCATTTTCCTCCCCTTCGCCACTGACTCTCTGAGATTGGCTTTACTCTCTGAGATTGGTTTACTCTCTGAGATTGGCTACTTTAAATACTCCATGTGAGTGGAACTGCACAGTGTTTTTGCATAGACTGACATTTCAATAGCATAAAGTCCTCAAAGAGAATCTGTGTTGTATCGTGTGGCAGTTTTCAAGATTAATAATCC